TCTATTTATTTTCCTCCTATGTTGATGTTTGCGGGTTAAGCTTAGCAAGTTAAGTTAACCTGATAAGTGGAGCGATTCTTCTTGGAGTACTATGATGTTCTGAATTATACCATACTCTCTTAGCCCTTAGTTCTCCAATTGATTTGTTTGGGTTGATGGAATTTACTCTATTTTTACTTCTCTCCACCTCTTTTTCTTCGCAGAAGAGCCACAACATGTTATTCTTTTATCTCTCAGAAAGAATGCTTTGAAAAGAAAAAAAATTTGATGGGCAAGGGAACCCCTAGCTCCGGAAGCAGAGATTGTGCATCGAAGACCTTCACTATTTCAATTACCCCCAAATTTGTTCTCAATGCTCTTCATGGCGGTATTTTTTTTATCTTGTTCTAAATTTATTACAATAACTACAATATCAAGCCTATAACCCATTATGTTGTGTCGGCTACAAGAATTATAATATTTATTTAAATATAATAAAACATATCATTTCTAATACTTTCCAACAAAATATTTTTAGGCTTAATGGTCGTTGGGATAGCTTTTTTATGCTTATTTGAAATTTTTGTGGTGGGAAATTGCTTTTTATAACCAAAAATCATTGTGGTAAATTTAAAAAGTTGTTTTCAGATTAAAAAGACTTATAATATCAAAATCAATATTAATAAAATTACTTTTTGGTTGATTTATTTTTTGTTCCTATTGATGCTCCTGTCTCTTTTAAATGGTAATGACTGGGACCGTTTGACTTGGAGATTTTACAGTCGAATAATATCATTATATTACAATCATGGTTAGAGCATGTATGTACTCCAATGAATTCAAATTATTGAGAAATGAATCAAAAGCATATAATTGGTAAGGCACAGTTCTTTGTTATCAAAGGTGTATTCAAATTTGTCCTGTAGACAAATATTCAACCTATGTCTATAAGGTACCTTTGGAAGAAACAACCTATGGCTGCCTACAAGGATCCTTTTGTCAAGTTGGGTTGACTGCCTTCTCTGACTAAGTAGAACAGGGACCACGATAGCCCCGGATGATGGAACAATGGGATCTTGATGGAGCACATCATCGTTATACTACTATCCGTTTTAAGTGCAAGAGTGTGAATTTCTAATTTTAAATAAAAATTATTTAAGTACAAATCTTGCTGCTAGTACGTATCTATTTGATATTATGCATCTATTTGACGACTAGCCTTAATTGAAAGTTCTCTCTAGTTATCGGGAGGGGTAATTAACTATAGGGGTTTGCACCTATGAGAAACCAGAACTCTAGATCATTAAGACCTTGCAAAATGAGGATGAAATCTCTGAGTAATGTCTTATTTAAAACCTATTTTGCCCTTCTTAAAATTTGCCTCAAAATATACTCAAATTTTGAGAGGCTTTCAAGAAAAATGAAGTGTGGAAAAGCAATGTGACATAATGATATTCTAATAGAGATGTGGAAATGCCTAGGAGATCAAGTAATTTTTTGAGAGAAGCTTTTTAATATTATTTTGATGACTAAAAAGATGTCAGATGAGTGCATAAAAAGTGCATTGTTTCTTAATTTTAAAAATAAAGGTGATGCATAAGAGTATGCGAATTATTAATGAATTAAGCTAATGTGTCACATTAAAATTATGGGAGAGAGTAAGGCTTTGGTTGAGATGATTTTCTTACTGGTTCTTATAGCAGCTTTCTTGAGCATGGGTTATGACATGCTGCCAATATTTTTTCAAAGCAGTTTGGATTCATGTCTGGTAGGTCTAGTGTGGAAGCTATACATTTGTTGAGAGGTTTGATAGAGAAGTATATTGAGGGCAAGGAGGATTTAAGATGCTTTTCTTTGTCCTCTTTCTGCCACTTGGTATTCTCACCTCAACATTTCCATTAAATTCTAATGTGAGTAATAAATTTCCATACAAATTTTATGAATTCCAAAATCCTCTCTCAATGTTTGGATTGGGCAATGATGAAATCCATCACGGGAGATGTTGCTCACCCTATGGTGGAGCATGATTCTTTAAGATGGTGATTCTGAGACGTTGGTGGATTTACAAGGTTTAGGAGACATGAAGTATGGGAAGTCGGTATACTGTATCATGATTTACGAGTTAGATTAGCGTTTTCTGTGAATTATTTGACTTAAATCCTGAGTTGTATCATCAAACGATTTCACTTGATTAAACATGATTTGACATCTTTCTTGTCAAAAAAAATTCAGGATTTAAGCATGATTTAGTAAAATTATGATTTAGAGGTTTTACTAAATCCTACTTGAATCCAAACAATACCTTCATTGGTTGATTTTAATGATGGGGAAGTCTGGAAATTCACGAAGATCTTTCCCCTCCACTATATAAGGGTGGGATTGCTTCGTCATGCTACTTTTCTTTTCTCTTGCAATGGCACAGAGCAGCTTGGAAGGCCCATGCGTATTGTGGGGCAACCGCTGAGTCTGTGTGTTGGTGTGAGGAATAAATAAATGGATCTTCCTTATGGAAAGAAGATCTGAGTCATTGCCTCTATGACCTCTTGTTGTTCGTTATGACTGTTGGGTTTTGCAGTTTATTATGATGCTACATCTCATAGACATGGCATTTTTGTTTGTGTTCAAGTTCTCAATTGAGAAAAAAAAGATTGTTATGAACGTAGTGAGGTTTGGTGATTGATATGAAAATTAGATCGCTTTGAATGCTATGTATGTAAATCTCTAAAAATATGTTATAATGTTTAAATATCATTTTTGATCAAATTTTTAAAGATTTTTATTTTAATGTTCGAATTAATAAAATCTAAGTTGGAAAATCTTTCAGGAAAATGAAGTGTAGGAAAATGAAGTGTGGAAAAATAATGTGACCTAATGATATTGCACTAGAGATTTGGATGCTTAGGAGATCAAGGAAATGAAATTTTTTGTGCTTACTATGTTTTTAAATATTATTATGATGTCAAAAGATGTCAGATGAGTGTAGAAAAAGTGCGCTCATTCTTAATTTTAAGAATAAAGGTGTTGCACAAGAGTATGTGAATTATAGAGGAATTAAGTTAATGCGTCGTATTAAAATTATGGGAGAGAATAAGGCTTTGTTTGAGATGGCTTTCTTCTGCTTTCTAAAGAAGCTTTTCTTGATCATGGGTTATGACATGATACCAATATTTCTAAAAGCAGTACTGATTCATTTGAGGCAGGTCTATCATGGAAGCTATACATTTGTTGAGAGGTTTGATCAAGAAGTATATTGGAAGCTATACATTTGCATATGATATTTCTTGATAAAAATGTTTTGTATTTATTTAAGATTCTTTTCTTCGACCTCTTTTTACCACTTGGTATCCTCACCTCAACATTTCCATGAAATTCTAAATGCTTCACTCTCCGCAGAATACTCATTTTTTTAAGTATCATCGTTTGCTCCTGTGTATCTGTTGATAACCTGGAAACGGCTGTGTCCGTGTGTAGCTGTGGATAACTAGTTGGTGGATCTGCTTTTTTATACAGTAAAGGTGAACAGTATTTGAATCTCTATTTATTTTCCTCCTATGTTGATGTTTTCTGGTTAAGCTTAGCAAGTTCAGTTAACATGATAAGTGGATTGAAAGCATTAAATATATGTATGTAGGAGCTATTACTTATTTTCAAACACAAGTTGGTTTGACCAATTATTTTCCTTTTTTAGTTGGATTACACCAAGGATCAACCTTAACCCCATATCTTTTTGCTTTAGTCATGGATGTTCTCACTAGACATTTACAAGAGGATGTTATTTGGTGTATGCTCACCATCTTGTTGATAAGACTAGAGAGTAGAGAGGGAGTTAAAGGTAAACTTAAATTATGGAGTTTAACCTTAGAGTCTAAAGGTTTTCGCTTGAGTAGATCTAAAATTGATTATATGGAGTATAATTTTTGTAGTAATAGACCTAGTGAGGGGATTGTGATTTTGGGCGATCAAGTCATTAATAAGAGTATATGTTTTAGATATATTGGATTTATTGTTCAGATTGATGGTGAAATAGATGAGGATATTAGCAGCAGAATTCAAGTTGAATGGTTAAAGTGGTGGAATGCGTCGGGCTTGTTGTGTGATAGAAAAGTCCTCAAACTTTAGGGAAAATTTTATAAGATGGTGGTGAGACTTGCAATGTTTTATGGTGCCGAATGTTGGCCTTTAAAAGAGAAGCATAATATTAAGTTAAGTGTTGCAAAGATGAGGTTGCTCATGTGTATGATTGGCTTTACCCTTAGAGATAGAATACAAAATTAGTATATAAGTGTAAAGGTTGGAGTAGTTTCTGTGGAAGATAAGATTAGATAGTTGCCTTAGATGGTTTGGTCACATATAAAATGACGGCATTCAGATGTCCTAATTAGGAAAGTAGATGTATTAGATTTGACTTGTGTTAATAAAGTTAGATGTAGACCTAAAAGGCTTGGTTAGTCATTTACCATGGAATGCAGTGTTCCATCACTCTATTGAGGGTTGTGGTTTAAGTTTTATACTAGAAAGCTATTTTAAAAAGCAGTAAGAAAGTCAGTCTCAAATGAAACCTTGGAGTTCTGAATGGTTCTCTACTATTCTCTTGCATCGGCACGGAGCAAGCTTGGAGGGCCCTTGCAGGCAACCGCTGAGTCTTTGTGCCATGTTGAAAGAATAAACGGATGTATTATCTTCTTCGTGATGGAGGAGGAAATGTGAATTTGAGCCTTTTGGTAGTTAGGATTTTTGGGTTTTGCAGTTTCAAGGATGTGCTGTTATGGATTTGTGCCATCCATTTAACTTAATTTTCTTACATGAAGAATAGCTTTTATAGTGTCCGTCTCATCTAATTCAGTGATAAAAAATTCTTTCTGGATATCCTTATCCAATTTTCCTCCATAATCCCATGCTTACTATATGGTTTACAACTAGCTGAACCTCCCGAAGAATAATATGCCCAGTCCAACTTCGTGGAATTTCACCTTTCGTGAATAAGAAAAATTCTATTTTGTAACTTCCATAATCCCTTTCTCTATGTGTCTTCCTGATGGAAGAAAGGTGAATTTGGGCAGTAGAGGCCTGTTTGCTGCTCACACTTTTGGAAGTTTGTTTGGTTTGTTTTGTTTAGCAGTTTCTATGATGGACTTTCTTGGATTTGTGCCATGCAATTATCTTCTCAAAAGAAAAAAAAGGTTGCATCTATCCAGTTTTTAAATAAACCTGTTAAGTATAGCTTTATTGGACCCAACGCAGAGGTAACTCAATGATAAAAAATTCTCTCTGCTTATCCTTACCCAATTTTTCTCCATAACCCGACATTTACTATATGCTTTACGACTTGCTTTTTCTGTCACTCTGTATCCTCCCCATTGATATGTAAGGTTGGCACGGATGAATCTAAAGAAGGTTCGGTTTTAGTGAAGTCTATGGAGTTTTTATTGGATTTGCACGCATACCACTGAATTCATAAATATTTATACATTTAAATGCAAACTATAGTTTTTTTTGCCAGCCGTCAAGGGGTATCTATACCGGTATCACAAGATGATGCAGCAATGCTCTTTGTAAGTATGAGTAAATTCTTCACTCTCTGCAGAAACTCATTTTTTAAGTATAATTGCTTGCTCCTGTGTATCTGTTGATAACCTGTCCGGATGTAGCTGTGGATGGCTACTTGGTCGATCTGCTTTGTTATACGGTAAAGGTGAATTCTTGTCTTTGAATCTCTATTTATTTTCCTCCTATGTTGATGTTTGCGGGTTAAACTTAGCAAGTTCTGTTAACATGGTAGGTGGAGAGAATCCTTATCCGTCTTCTAAGACTACTATTATGTTCTGTATTATACTGTACTGTCTTACCCCTTAGTTCTCTAAAGGATTTGTTTGGGTTGAATGAATTTACTCCCTTTTTACTTCTCTTTACCCCTTCTTATCCGCAGAAGAGCCACAGCTGTTATGTTTGTTTCTCTCAGAAAGAAGACTGCGTTGAAAAGAAAAACTTTTTGATGGGCAGGGGCCTAGCTCCGGAAGCAGAAATTCTGCATAGAAGACCTTCACTATTAGAATTACCCTCAAATTTGTTCTCAATGCTCTTCATGGCGGTATTTTTTTTTATCTTGCTCTAAATTTCTTACATTAACTACAATATCAAGCCTATATCGTATTACTTGGGTTTAGCTACATGAATACAAATATTTATTTAAATATAATAAAAAGGATTATTTCTATTTTTATTTTTTTTTTAAAAGATCATTTATAATACTTTCTAACAAAATCTTTTTTAAGGCTTACATCTGTCTTTTGGGTTTTATCATTGTTTATTTTGTCTATTGGTTCTGTAAAGGGGAATGAATTTCAATACGACATTATAAAGTCTTTTAGAGTGTTAGAGGTTATTTATTTTTATCCAAGGTGAATCTCTTTGAAAATTGATGCTTATGTTATCTTGAACAGTCTAATGGTGTTTGGGATAACTTTTTCAATGCTTTTTTGAAATTTTTGTGGTGCGAAATTGGTTTTTATAACCAAAATTATTAATTTATAGTAGCTTTAAAAAATATTTGTCTGATTTAATATCAGTATTAATAAAATTACTTTTTGGTTGATTTTTTTTTTCTATTGGTATTGATGCTCCAGTCTCTTTTAAATGGTTATGATTAGAGCCTGTATGTTCCCCAAAGTTTCAAATCATGGAGCGATGAATCAATAGCATATAATCGATAGGGCACCAAGCTCTCTATTGGAAAATCAATCATTAAGTATATTGAAGAATGTGTGCAAAAAAATTTACCTAAAAGCAATGCAAAAAGGGACTTTGGAATTAACATGCACAGTCGTATGGGCTTTCTTTATACTAATAGCTTCATGTAGAGCTTGAGAATTACATAATATAATTTTTTATAATGTTGGTCGTAATTCATTTGATAAATATCGACTAGGGGTGTCAATTAAGGTCAACTAGTCGGGTTCGGATTGAATCCGGAAATGACCAGGCACTGTTTGGGTTAACTCGAACTTGATCGTTTTTAAAAATGGGTTAGGTTTTTGGACCCAAACTGGGTCTGGGTCAACTTGACCCGCCACGAATGATCCAAAGTTGACATAAAATTGCTAGTTTTCGGGTCAATGTTCGATTTTCAGGTCAAATTTGGGAAAAAAAGGGTCAATCTCGGGTTTTCGAGTCAAATAGGAGTTTTATTGTCAGTTTTGGATCATTTTCGGGTTGTTGGGTCAACCCGAATCCGGCCCGATTTTTAAAACGGATTGATTTGTTGAACCCGAACCTGAACCGTTTCGGGTCCGGGTTGACCATAACCCGGATTTTTTCGGGTCTGATTCGGGTCGTGTCAAAAATTGACATCCCTAATATTGACACATAAGTATAATGGTTTTCTTGTAGGTTATGATAATTACATTTAGAATATAAGACGAGGAACATATCGTAATATTCGGAAACACTGTTTTTGTGTGTGCGTGTGTGTGAAGTTATTAATTTAAGAATTTTTTCCTTTTGGTAAGGTAATAGTAGCTAAGTCTTTCAATTTAGCTTATGCTATTCAAATTATTTATGAAAATTTGATGTGATAATTAGTAACCTAAGGTTCTTGGTTTGTCATGAATGTATAGCTTTTGTTTTTAAGAAAGGCAAATGTTGAATTATAGCCATTTCTTGCTATTTATACTACAATAAACCAATTATCACTTAGTTACATGTTAAGAAAGCTTTAGTTCATGCAAGTGGGTTGTACGTAGAATGTCATTAATTAATCTAAAGGAAGAGTAGGTTGAACTACTATATGGAACTTAAGATTGCATAATCACATCAGGTTAATTTGAAATTAATCCATACTTGTAGACAAGTTCATATATTTTGATTCATAGAGCTTAATCGATATACTTCGCTTAATCGAAACAAACGGAAGAGAATCAATCCAATAAGTTTTTATATGAAAGATAACTTATGGCTGATTTGTTGTGTGGATTTGGAAGGTGATTTTATGAATGCGTATAAAGAATTTGCAAAGCTTTTGGTGGGCGTTTGGAAGCTAATTTGGAAGAGGGATAGCCAAGCGCAGATTTAGGCATGTAAAGCAGGTTTTATAGTCGGTGGTGGTGATTTTTTTAATTGCGTGCACCTTTCTTCTTTAGGGGCTGTTTGGTATCGGATTTATGGTTGGATTTAAGTCGGATTTACATTAAATCCAGCCGAACGGTTTTACATCGCCCGTTAAATCCCGGATTTAAGAATTTACGGCTTAAATCCCGGATTTACTAAACCCTCGGTTCGGTGAATTTAACGGGATTTAAAGAGTGGCGGAAGACTTGCCCGCGGAGCCCGTGTTGCCGAAGCTCGGCTTAACAGTCACCGAAGAAGCGTGCAAACCGAGGGAAACATATATCCTACTTAAAACAGCAAATAAATCCGATGCCAAACACCCTCTTAGGAGAAAGAGAAGGCTATAGATTTCCGAAACATAAATAATGTTGTTGCTTTTGGAATGCATCTTTTAAATTTTATTTTATTTTATTTTTTTTTTTGAAAATTTTATTGTTTAAAACTAAGCATTTATTACAAAATTCTTTTTTCCAAAAAAGCCGCAAAATTCCTTTTTAAATCCATTTTTTTTAAATTTTTTTTAAGCTTTTTTATTTCTTGAACTTTTTCCCCCAGCAAAAATAAAAAATGTCCGACCTTGATTTTCTCAGCCGTCGGATAAGATCCAACGGCTGATAAGCCACAAACATGTGTCGTTGAGGAGCGGTCCTGCTGTGTTTATAAATCGATAGCACACTACGGTTAAAAACTCTAACTCATTAGTTTAAGTGTGTTGGCGGCTAGAGCGGATGGACTTTTCCTCTTGCATCTCCAACGCCGATGATTTCTTAGATGCGCGCGCGATCTCTCTCTCTGAGGAGAAATTAATCTGTGTGCGGTCTCCTGACTTAGCTCTGCGATGGCGATGATGATGAAATCAAACAGGAAAAACGATCTTACCCCGGGTTAGGAATTTTTCCAATGATGCTTTAGATATTGCGATGGTGCCGGAGCAGCTTGGATGTCCCGCTCATCAAGGGAAACCGCTGCGTCTGTGCGTCACCGTAAGAGAACAGGTGGTTTGATCTGCTTGAGGATGGAACCAAGGCGAATCTGAGCCCCCAATTTCTTTTTTCTTTGCTGATCTTCTCTGAAACAGGTTTTTCAGTGCTCTGCATGAATAAGTGAGTGTTGTAGTGATGCTTAACCCAAAAGAAATCATATCTCTAACTTGTTAGTTTAAGGGGTATTCGGTTGCAGCATTAAGGCATGATTTACGAGGATATTTGGTGGTGGGTTTTGAGCAGGTTTAATGCTAAATTTCATTCAAATCCTGCCAAGCAGTTTTTGTTGGGAAGATCGAATTTAATTGATTTGTCGGTTGTTTGGTAGCAGCATTTCGCTAGGGCTAACAACAAGTGTTTCTACTGCTACTTTGGATGGGCTACCTGAAATTTTTCATTCAATAATGTTTTGTTTAAAGTTAATTATTTAATTAATTTACTTAATTATTAATATTTAAATTATTTAATTAATACACTTCGCAGGAGGTGTATAGATTGCACGCGTTGCTTCTTCGGCTCCTTCGTGGCTGTTCGACTTCGCTCCTTCGACGACTTTCACTTCCTGTAGGATTGGAAGTTACGAAATTTTGATCGGAAACAAGAGGAGGATTTCGCTGGCTGTGAAATTGAACTTTCTTCCTTTCAGGCGTTATTAATGTTGAATCCCGTTAAATCCGCCGAACATATGGATTTAGTAAATCCGGGATTTAAGCTGTTAATTTAGGGATTTACAGAATCCCGTGATTTAACTTGCGCGCAAAAACCGTTTGGCTGGATTTATTGTAAATTCGACTTGAATCCGGGATAAATCTGATACCATACAGCCGCTTAGAGTTCCTAATGTTTCTCTGTTATTCTCTTTCAGCGGCACGGAGCAGCTTGGAAGGCCCTTGCCATCTGCAGGCAACCGCTGCATCCGTGTGCCTTGGTCTGCTTGCCATGGTGTACATGCACGGCGACCGCTCCATCGATGCGTTACTAGCAGAGAACTAGCGGGTTGATCTGCGAAATGATTGAACAAAGGCGAATCTGAGCCTGTTTAATTTACGCACTTGTCTATTGAACATGCTCCGAAGCAAAACAAATGAGCCCATATGAACAGACATCACAGATCAAGGTGAGCTGCGTATGAACCTATATTTTGGTTTCATAAGATGGGTGAATTATTACGTCCGGGTACAGGCCGTCCGGACACCATTCTAGACAAGCCATGTCACCTGAATACATTGCGCCCGGGTGATGTGGCTAGGCTGGATTGTTGTTCGGACGAATCTGGACACCGGTAATAATTTTCTAGTAAGATGATGCAGGCCCAAGCTCTAATGCTTTTTGTCCTAAGAAAACTGTCCCAAATGAGGCAAATTATTGAGTCCGGTGTCGCCACGTCACTAAAATTCACCGGATTGGATGTAATTTGCCCCCAAACAAAGCCTAAATCTGACCAGATGGAGTTGCTCGTCTCTTCCGTCTGCCTTCTCGAATGCTGATGATTTCTTATGCCTAAAGCTTTGATCATGCACGCTCTCGCTCTTTCTCCCTCCCTCTCTCTTTCAAATTGGGCGATGATGATGAAATCGAACATGAAAAAGCGATCTTACCCTGGTTAGGAATGTTTCCAATGTGCTTCAGATATCGCAATGCTTCTCTTGCGGTGGTGCCGGAGCAGCTTGGATGGCCCGCTAATCTATGGGAAACCGCTGCTTCTGCACGTCGCTGTTATAGAACAGATGGGTGGATCTACTTGAGGATGAAAACAAGGCGAATCTGAGCCCCCAATTTTCACCTTCTTTTCTTTGCCCACCTTTTCTAAAACAGATTTTCCTGTTCTGTGTGGAAATACTTAAGTGATGCAGTGATTCTTCACCCCAAAATTAATCTCATCTCCAACTCGTTACTTGTAGGGGCTGTTTAAATCCGGATTTTTTAAATCCAGTTTAATCCCGAAAACTGTTTGGCAAATAAGTGTTAAATCGTATGATATTATTTGATAATATAATTCAAGATTTGATTATTTTATTAAAAGGCTAAATTTAATGTGTTTTAATTTTAGTTTATATTTAAGTACAAGGTATTTATAATTTTAAAGTTAATTATAATTAATAAATTAGAATTAAAAAAATAATATAATTAAAAATATTTTAATTTAAAAATAACTTATTAGATTATTTTTTAAATTATTATGAATTAATTTATCATGATTAAAAATATAAAACAGAATTTTAGTTTGATTAGTAATTAATTATATTATATTCTTAATTATTTTTTTAATTAAATTAATTATTCCTGCGTTATACTTCTCTGGAATAGCTTCTGCTGGAGAAATTATTAGGTGCGAGTGCGGACGTAGCTCTGTGGCACTGTCACGCCTTCAATGAATTGCAACCCGAACAACTCAGCGCAGTGGTGATATTTAATATGGATATCTTATTATTATGTTTTTTTTTCTCCAGCTGTTCGTTGCTCTTCGATTTCGGCTGCTTCGCGTAAGAGGTGGAGTTCCTGAATGAGTTGCTAATGAAATTCTTTGCCTCCTTGGACGACATTTCTTTCTAGTTGCTATTGGATCCGAAGTCACGCTTGCCGTTTGTTGGGTTTGTTTAGTTGAGCAGTTTCTATGAAGCGCTTTCTTGGATTTGTGCCATGCCTTTTATCTTCTAAACAAAAAAAGGTACATACATATAATTTCTAAATAATCCTCTGTTAGGTGTAGATTGGTTTTGGTAATTATGGCTTTATTGGACCCATCTCAGAGGTAATTGATTGATAAAAAATTCTCTCTGCTTATCCTTACACATTATTTCTCCATAACCTGACATTTACTATTATGGTTTTACTACTAGCTCTTTCTGACACTCGGTATCCTCCCATTGATATCTAAGGTTGGCACGGATGAATCTAAAAAGGGTTCGGTTTCTATTCTGCAATTCTGGAAGAGTAATGACTAATCTGACTTATTAGAAAATCTCTTTTTGCAACTACAACAATCTCTCTCTATCTCTCTCTCTATATATGGATTGAGCAATGATGAAGAAATCTATCACAGATAATAGTTTTGCCCATTATTGTCGAGCAGGATTCCTTTTTAAGATGCTTCGGAGATTTCTTTTATTCTTATCCATTGGTGATGGAGTTGCTTGGATGGCCCGGACATCCAAGGTAGATAACTGGTGGATTGATTTGCTTGTATATGAACAAAGTCGAATCTGAGCCCACTTGCGTGCTGCAATTTTCTGTTGAACATGTTCTAAAGAAAGAAAGGATCCCATAAAGTGCATTTTCTTACAATTTAACTGAAGCTTGAAGTCTATATAGTTTTTTTTTTTTTTAATTTTCCCACACCAAATTATAGGTTTTTTCTCAGCCTTATACTGCAATGCTCTTTGTGAGTGTTGCGGGCTAGAATATACGCGGCGATAGAGTTAAAATTCTGCCTCTTAGCGTTGTTCGGATATTCAACTCACACACAAAGAATAAAAGATGCTTTTACGTGGAGAACTCGTGGAAGGGGAAAACCTCAGCCGATGTTGAATCCCTTGATAGTGGACCGCTTGATGGACATTTGAATGTCTTAATGATGTCGGAATTCAGTGATTTTGGGCTTGTTTGATTCATCTCGTCAAGCCCCTTGATTCGACTATAAGCACCGCATGTATCGGAACTGTTAGGTAATCCAAATTGTGGGTTGAACCTTCTAATAGCGCTTATGACCCTTTGGGCTTGGATTGGATTGAATTTGGTATCATTGGGTTTGTATTTTTTAGGCGTTTAGTTCGACCATAAGTTTGCTGAAATCAAAGTTCAGATGGTCCGAATTTTAATTTCGGAAGTTTCCAACTTAATTTTGCCTCGAGATTCGTGCCCGATCAAGTTAATTTTTCGAGTATGTATCAGTACGTACGAGTAAATGCTTCACTCTCCTCAGAAAACTTATTTTTTAAGTATAATCGCTTGCTCCTGTGCATCTGTTCATAACCTGGCAACAGTTGTGTCCGTGTGTAGCTGTGGATATCTAGTTGGTGGATCTGCTTTTTATACAGTAAATGTGAATTCTAATGTGAGTACTAAAATTCTCACCCAAATTTTATGAATTCCAAGGATCTCTCTCTCTCTCTCTCAGTTTGGATGGGGCAATGACGAAATCCATCACGGGAAATCTTGCTCACACTATGGACCATGATTTTTTGAGATGGTTATTCTGAGATCTCAGCATTTATTCTTATCCAGTGGCGATGGATCTGCTTGTTGATTGAACAAAGGTGAATCTGAGCACATTTCCTTTACCCCTTCTCTATAAAAATATGTTTTTTATGTCCAAGCAAATAACTGCCGACCCCTTAGTGTGGATTATTTCTTACGATTTTTCCCAAGTTGAAGTCTATCCTTTTTCTACTACGCCACCTAGTATTATATTGATGTTTGAATGAAACTTAATTTTTTTTTTTACCCACCAACTTATTCACTTAAGTATTTCCTCAGGCTAAAAAAAAGTATTTCCTCGGGTTCAGGGAATTCATATGATTCTTTAATTTTCTCCACTTCTACACATGCCTCTTTAGAACCTCAGTAGGTTATGCTTTTGGGCTCCTTCGAGAGAAGGCTGCTTTGAAAAAAAAAAAAAACAGTTATGGCGGTAACAAGGAAAGTAACCGTAGCTCCTGAAGCGGAGCCAATGATAATGGTTGAGTAGATTTCTTAGCATGAGTGACCTTTTCCGTTTTAGTTTATCCCTAGAGGGAATGATTGTCAACACTGGATTAAAATAGTCTCAAAAGCTTTTAGAGATTTTTGATTTTTTTACGAGCAGAATCTCTTTCAAAATTGATGCTTATGCCATCTTGTAGAGTGAATGGTCTTTGAGATAACTTTTGGGGGATTTACATACATGCCATTTTATTTCATGCTATTTACGTATCTAACACCCAAAACTTTGATATTACATGCCTTTCAGCCATAGAACAAAAATAGGTGCATGGAATGAAATATTAAAATTTGTAGGTTGGTTTGGGGGCGATAATGAAATATAGCAGTGATGTATTGTGCGCTACAAAAATTTCATGTTGTGCCCTCAGCCTCTCCGTACCCTGCCATTGGTCTCTTTTCTTATTTGTGTGACGGCGGAGAGTTTTATTGAGATTAGGTTCCAGTGAATTTTCAGAAGACAGTTTGGGTTTAAGATAAGACATTACTCGGAGATTATGCCCTCATTTTGCGCGGAATTTATGATCTGAGTTCTGTTTTTTATAGGTGCAAGTCCCTATAGTTAATTACCCCTCCTGATAACAAGAGTGAACTTTCGATTAAGGTTAGTTATTAAAGCTGTCACATTGGTTATAAACCCATGGCATAATAGCATCAATTTAGGGTTTGAATTTTGGATTTGAATTTTGAAGTTTAAGAATTTGAGGTTTATCATCCTAAACTTAAAACTGGTGGTGGTCTCTGGTTGAATCCAAACAACACCTTGGTTGATTATAATGATTGGGAGGTCTCTGGAAATTCACGAAGATCTTCCCCCACACTAAATAAGGGTGAAATTTCTTCGTGATTCTACTTTGCTATTCTCTTGCAATGACGCGGAGCAGCTTGGAAGGCCCATGCATATTGTGGGGGCAACCACTGCGTCCATCTGTTAGTGTTATATGATGCTTAAAGTATCATTTTTGAACAAATTTTTAAAGATTTTTATTTTGATAGCCGTATCATTAAAATAGAATCTTTCAAGAAAATAAAGTGTGGATAAAGTGGAAAAAAATGTGACCTAATGATATTGCACTAGAGATGTGGATGCTTAGGAGATCAAGTAATTTTTTGAGCTTACTAAGTTTTAAATATTATTTTGATGACAAGATGTCAGATGAGTGGAGATAAATTGCGCTGGTTCTTAATTATAAGAATTAAGGTGTTGCACAAGAATATGAGTAATTGCCTCTATGAACTCTTGTTATTCGTTATGACTGTTGGGTTTTAGCAGTTGACTATGATGCAACATCTCACAGATATGGCATTTATGTTTGTGTTCAAGTTCTCAATGGAGAAAAAAATTATTGTTATGAACGTAGTAAGGTTTGATGATTTATATGAAAATTTTATCACCTGCGTATCTGTTGATAACCTGGCAAAGGCCGTGTCCGTGTGTAGCTGTGGATAATTTGTTGGTGCATCTGCTTTGTTATTCAGTAAAGGCGAATTCTTGTCTTTGAATCTCTATTTATTTTCCTCATATGTTGATGATTGCGGGTTAAGTTTAGCAAGTTCAGTTAACATGATAAGTGGATTCAAAGCATTAAATATATGTATGTAGGAGATATTACTTATGTTCAAACACAAGTTGGTTTGACTAAGTATTTTCCTTTTTCAGTTTGATTACATCAAGGATCAACCTTAAGCCCATATTTTTTTGCTTTAGTCAGTGATGTTCTCACATTTACAAGAGGATATTTCTTGGTGTATGCTTTTTGCTGGTGATATTCATCTTGTTGATAAGACTAGAGAGGGAGTTGAAGGTTAACTTAAATTATGTCTAAAGGTTTTTGCTTGAGTAGATCTAAATTTGAATATATGGAGTGTAATTTTAGTAGTAATTGACCTAGTAAGGGGATTGTGACTTTGAGCGATCAAGTCATTAATAAGAGTACATGTTTTAGATATTTTGGATCTATTGTTTATAGTGATGGTGAAATAGATGAGGATATTAGCAGCAGAATTCAAGTTGGATGGTTAAAGTGGTGGAATGAGTCAGACTTGTTATGTGATAGAAAAGTCCCCTTCAAACTTCATGGAAAATTTTATAAGATGATGGTGAGACTTGCAATGTTTTATAGTGCCGAATGTTGCTCTTTAAAAGAGAAGCATAATATTAAGTTAAGTTTTGCAAAGATGAGGTTGCTCAGGTGTATGATTGGCGTTACCCTTACAGGTAGGATACATAATGAGTATATATGTGTAATGGTTGGATTAGTTTCAATGGAAATAAATTAGAGAAAGTCACTTTAGATGGTTTGGTCACATAAAAATTGAAATCTATCACAGATGATGATCTTGCCCACCTAGAGTAGAACAGGATTTCTTTCTATGGTGCGTCAGGAATATCCTCTATTCTTATTATCCGTTGCCGATGGAGTTGCTTGGATTGTAGGAGGCGTGTAGGGTTTGCCTTTCATCTTTTCTTTTCGTTGTTGCTGTTCGGCTTCGTTGCTTCACAGGGGGTGTATAGATTGCACGCGTCGCTTCTTTGGCTCTTTCGTGGCTGTTCGACTTCGCTCCTTCCACGACTTTCCCTTCCTGTTGGGTATGAAGTTACGACATTTTGATCGGAAGCAAGAACAACAGCTCGCTGGCTGTGAAGTTAACTTTCTCCCTTTCGGGCGCTTCTAATATCGAACCAAGGGATTTAGTAAATCCGTAAATCCCGGATTAAGCTGTAAATCTGTAATTTCGTAAATCCGGGATTTAACTAGCGCACAAAAACCGTTTGGCTGGATTTAGCGTAAATCTGACATAAAATCCCAAACAGCCCCTAAATCTGACGTAAATCTGAGTGGATGGATTGGCTCGTCTCTTCCGTCTGCCTTCTCCAATGCTGATACTGACGATTTCTTATGCCTCTGAAGCTTTTTGGCCATGCACGCTCTCTTTCTTTCTCTCTCTTTCAAATTGGTCGATGATGACTAAATCCAACATGAAAAGCGATCATACCCTGGTTAGGAATGTTTCAATGTGCTTCAGATATCGCAATGCTTCTCTTGCGGCGGTGCCGGAGCAGCATGGATGGACCGCTAATATTTGGGAAACTGCTGCGTCTGCGCGTCGCTGTTATAGAACAGGTGGTTAGATTTCGTTAAGAATGGAAAGAAGGCGAATCTGAGCCCCCAACTTTCACTTTCTTTCGCCACCTTCTATGAAACAGATTTTCCTGTTCCCTGCGGAAATACATAAGTGATGCAGTGATGCTTCACCCCAAATTTAATCACTCGTTGCTTGTGGTGGCTGTTTAAAGCTGGGTTTTTTTTAAAATCCAGTTAAATCCTGAAAACTGTGGCAAGTGTTAAATCGTATGAAATTATTTGATAATATAAATCAAGATTTGATTAATTTATTTAAAGGGTAAATTTAAAGTGTTTTAATTTTAGTTTATATTTAAGTATAAGTTATTTATAATTTTAATTTTAATTATGATTCTAATAATTTTTCCAATGAAGTCTTTAAACTGGAACTCTTGCAGCCCGAACAAACCAGCCCAATGGTAATGGTGATATTGTATGTAGATTTTTTATGACTATATTTTTTTCTTTTGAGAGCCACAGACCCACAGGTTTTAGCTTTTCCTCTTCATCAGCTGTTCGTTGCTCTTCGATGTCGTCTGCTTCACGTCAGAGAGGAGTTTTGAACCAGTTGCTAAATAATAACTTCTTTGCCTCGTTGGACGATATTTTTTCCTATAGTTCCTATTGGATCCAAAGTTCCTCTCCGTTCTTCTGTTTGATCGAGGTAACGACGACGAGGGGAGCTTGCTCGTTGCGAAGTTGTCATCTTTCTTACTTTCGCTCGCTTCTTCGGCCAAATCCCTTATATCTGCTGACCTCCCGGATTTACTCAACCTGGGATATATGGCAAGAGGGAAACCGAGGATTTAACTCGCTGTGAGATTTAAATTTCAAGTTATTAAGTCCTACTTGAATTTAATCATACTTCTAAGCCAAACAACATTTACTTTGGTTATGGTATTGATTAAGTATTCACGATGGAAGGCAATTCTTCGCCACTCTACTGAGTGTTGGAGTGGTTTGGATATCGCTTGAGAGATCGTAATTCTTCTCTGCTAATCTATTGCATTGGCACGGAGCAGCTTGGAAGGCCCTTACCGAGTAATGCTCCACTCCAAAAAAAATAAAAACTTATAGTTTAATTTTGACATATTGATTTCTGGGTCCTATTGATGACCTTGCAACTTCTGTGTCTGTATGCAGTTATTGATGAAGCCTTTGATCTCAAATTGTTATACCTATTTTTATTTATTTATTTTTGGATCGCACCTTTTGGGTTTTATCATTGTTTATTTCGTCTATTGGTTCTGTAAGAGGGAATTATTGTCAACATGGCATTATAAAAAATCTCCAAGGCTGTTACAGGATTTTAATTTTTATTCGAGCAGAATTTCTTTCAAAATTGATGTTAATGCTATCTTGGAGAGTCAATGGTCTTTGGGTTGACTTTTTCAATGCTTTTTTGACATTTTTGTGTGTGAAGTTGCTTTTTACAACCAAAATTATAAACCTGTGGTAGCATTAAAAAATTAGTTATCAGATTATATATAATATCAATATGAATTTTAATAAAATTTCTTTTTTGTTTGATTTTTTTTCCTTGCTATTGATGCTTCAGTCTCGTTTATTCTACTCACTTTGTAATGTTTTTTTTTTTGTTTAATATCAAGTCCTGGAATTTTGCATGGCTTTACTTGTTCAGGTACTGGTTCCTGTACAATTTTTCTTGAATGATTATCTTAATTGGTAAAGGAGCTGATGAAACACGGGTGATCTAACTAATGCGCTATCTTTTTCTTGTTTTTGTATGCTATTGACTTCACGATGTTTTTGGGAAGCTTTTTTGGGTGTTGGATGGTTGTTTTCGAAATTTGCATCTTATTATCAACTACTTAATAGTTAGATGATACGTCAATGTCTGTAGAAGAGATGCTATACTTGGTTGGGCTCATCATCATTACCCTAGCATTTGCTTTAAGTTTTAGAGGTTAAATTTCTAATTTTAAATATAGATGATGCTGCTACTATACGCTAGATACTACATATCTATTTGATACTATGCATCTATTTGACGACTAGACTTAATAGAAAGTTATTTCTTGTTATGTGGACGGTAATTAATTATAGGGGCTTGCACCTATAAGAAATCAGAACGCAGATCATAAAGATTCCTCAAAATGAGGTTGAAATTTTTTGGTAGTGTCTTATTTAAAACCTAATTTGTCCTTCTGAATGTTTATCTTGGAACATACTTGTTAAAACTCTCCTTGACAACCCGAAAAAGAAAAGAAAGGGTCTGCTAGAGGCAGTGCGTGAATTTTTGGAGCCTGCAATCCAATAAGATGCCAAAATTTTCTCTTATGTTAGTTATTATAAATGCAATGTCAAAGCCTATGAGTACAAGATTTATTCTCGAGAAAAAATTTCTCTCTTTGTGGATTGAGCCAATGATGTTACAATCCATCACAGATAATAGTTTTTCCCGTTATTTTTGAGCAGAATTCCTTTAATTCTTATCCATTAGCGATGCAGTTGCTTGGATGGCCCTTTCATCCACGGTAGATAACTGGTGTATTGATTTGCTTGTTGATGAACAAAGGCGAATCTGAACCCACTTCCTTGCCCTAGTTTTCTGTTGAAGTTGTTCTAAATCAAAGAAAGGATCCCATAAAGTGCATTTTTGCATTTTCTTACCGTTTAACTCAAGCTGAAGTCTATCTAGTTTTTATTGATTTGCACACATACCATTGAATTCATATATATTTAAAGTTTCAAGAGAAGTGCTATGGAGAGTTCTTGGAAATAAAGGAGTTAATAATGCTTATATTCAAAGCGGTAAATATATGTATATAGGAGCTATTACTTGTGTTCAAACACAAGGTGGTTTGACCAAGTATTTTCTTATTTTAGTTGGATTACATCAAGGATCAAACTTAAGCCCATATATTTTTGCTTTAGTCGTGGATGTTCACATTGGAGATTTACAAGAGGATGTACTTTGGTGTATTCTTTTTGCTGGTGATATTCATCTTGGTTATAAGACTATAGAGTGAGTTGAAAATAAACTTAAATTATGAAGGTTAAGCTTAGACTTTAAAAGTTTTTGCTTGAGTAGGTCAAAAATTGAATATATGAAGTGTTATTTTAGTGGTAATAGATCAAGAGAGGGGATTGTGACTTTGGATGATGGTGAAATAAATGGGGTTATTAGCAGCATAATTCAAGTTTATATATTCACACAACAAAACTCACACAAAAGTCCTTAGCAGTTCTTTATTCTCTTCAAATCAGATCTCATTACTCTTATAAAGATTGGTCTTTCTCATAGTTCTTGTTGAGAACAGTCCACAGGATCTGTAAAGAGAATATATTATCTATGATTTTTAAGTATATTTTTGTCATTTTTGTTCCAATTTTTGTTTCTTGAACTTTCCCCCTTGCAAAAACCAAAAAGTCCACCCAACTTTCTTTTGTTTTTCTCAGCCGTCTGATAAGATCCAACGACTGATAAGCCTCAAGCAGTTTTCCTTTAGTGCTCTAGCTGTTTTTATAAATAGATAGCACACTAAGATGAAAAACCCTAACTTTTTTTTTTTTGGACATTTAGGCCATTTAAGGCAAACTCACACACACAATGCATACAC